GGGAAGGTAAACGGTGTTTCCGTGCGCTCTGGTTTCCGTTACAGTGTCCCGTTGCACCAGAAGCAGTTTAGTCCTGCTGGCCACATGACCCAGAAAGCCATCTGTGGACAAACTGGCCAGCTCCATCAGCCTGAAAGCAAGATGAGTACTGGAACCTCATAGTCATCTTTGACTGAACTTAATGGCCCAGGGGCCCTTTACTTTTTTTTTACCTAATGAAGGCTACCAATTAAAGGTTTATACGGAGCTGATAATCTAACTCAGTACTGTCCATAGCTGTCAACCTTTCCTTTTTTTGTGGGAAATTCCCTTATTTCAGTGCCATTTCCCGCTGCTTCCCGCTGCTATCCCAGATTGTTAGATATCCCGTAGACTGTCTCCGGGACAGGTGAGGCTGCTGATCCCTTATTTTCAAATCCGAAAGTTGATAGCTATGGTACTGTCTGCACTAACCGGCAGCTTCTCCCCAGAGCAGGGGTGCCATCTCAGGATGGTGGGTGCCCACTGCCACAATGTGGATGTGCGACATCACACATACACAATTCTGTCTCTGAGTCTGAGCCCCATGCACCCCACCCCGGCCCCGGAAAAGAGTGTCTTGTTGAGCAGATTGATTTATTGCTCAGATAAGCCTGATGTCTGGCACGCTTCCCACTGCGCAGCTCAGTTTTGGCCAGGCCTCTGCATTCCAAAGTCCACATTCCGATGCTTCTGAGCAAAGCAGAGTTCTGCAGCGGCAAGAGAAAGACTGCAAAAAACTCCAGTGCCTTCTTCAGTGTGCTTAAATAAAGTCCACTCAGGATCTTAGCAGCTAAAAGCAGTTTTATTTACAGCAGACTATCCATTATCTATCACAGCGAACAGCATCGTGAAAACACGTCCTCTCTCCTCAAAAGCGAAAGTAGAGAGAAAGAACAAAGGCTTGAGGCTCTCGGAAATGACGAACCTCCCCCCTCCCAACAGTAGGCAGTGCGTACACTCTGAGCTGTTTAACCCTGTAAGCTCAGGTTCTCCTCACATGTCTCGCTGGCTAGCTGCGAAGGACAGAGCTGAACTGCTTCTGTCTCAGAGGCAGCGCTGTTGCCGCCTGCCAACTTTTCTTATTGACTTTGTGGGTGCCCGGCCCCTGCAATTATACTATTATAGATGCCCAAGCACCCACAGCTGCCTGTAGTTGGCTCCTATTCCCCAGAGTTTCAAGCAAGGTTCTCATCTGTCCCTACTTGGAGCTGCCATAAATTGAACCTGCAACATCCCTCAAGCAAATCAGATATGGCAACCATCAGCAACCATGAGGTTGTGCAACTGAGTCTCAGATATGAGGTATAGTGGTTGGAAGGTGAAATATGGACCTAGGAGAGCAGGGTTCAAATCCCCACTCAGGCATGAAGCTCACTGGGTGTCCTTGCACCCCTCACCATCTTTCAGCCTAAGATGAATAAGTTGGGGAAGGGGGAATCAGGTGTGCCTGGTCCTCAGAAGAGAGGTGGAATAACATGTGAAAAAATTAGAGGGGAAAAAATGGGATATGATTTACAAGGAATTGAAAAAGCTGTTTAAATATAACTTCCCAAAAAAACTGGAAGCTTTTTTGCTAGGAGATGAAATAAGAAAAGCAGATCAGAGATTATTTATGTATGCCACGACTGCCGCCAGAATTTTAGTAGCCCAAAAATAGAAAACTCAGGAAATACCAACATTAGTGGAGTGGCAGACAAAAATGGTGGAATATGTAGAATTAGCAAAACTGACCCACAGGATCTGTCACCAAGAGGAATCAAAGTTCAAAAATGAATGGAGTAAATTTGTTGAGTATATAGGTAATAACTGTAGAAGTTTAAAGACTGTAGTAGGATAAAAATAAATTTTGTGATGTGTATAGGATGTTATTAAGAATCTGCGAAAAAAGAGAAAACTCAATATGAAAGCCTGTTGAAGGGAGGGAGGGAAGTCCGCACTTGATAGAGCGTAGAAAATAAGTGGATATATGATTTTTAGAGTATTTATTTTGTTGGTTTATGTTAAAGAAGACTCTTTAAAAAGCATTTTTTTAAAAAAGAAGAGAGGTGGAATATAATTGTGATTCACAAATTTTTTTACTATGCTTCCAGATTTTGGGGCGGGGGGGTTAATATAGCCCATTGTCAACCATTGTTAATAGCTCACTGGATTTTCCAAGATTAAACCTAGAAAGAAAATATGTGACAATCTAGGGTTGCCATATTTCAAGAGGTAAAAATCCAGTCGTTGAGCTTTCTCAGGGCAATCACCTGATACCCTGAAAACCCCCAAATCCAGGACATTTGCTTTAAAATGTAAAATTCCCCTGGATGGGTATGTCGGGCCCCCAAAAGAGGACATGTCCAGGAATTCCTGGACTTATGGCAACCCTAACAATGGCTAGTATATTGATGTTGAAGGAAACTTGTGAAGAACCCAGCTTCCACAATAAACACTCGTCTGAAAGCACTCTTTCTTTAAAGAGTATCCAGGGAAATTCTTGCTAAAATGTTGGGACACCTCAAGGTGTGGCATTTTTTTTAAAAAAAAAGAACCCAAGAAACAACCGGCGATTTCCTTTTTGAAAAACATCAAGTGGTTAAAATGTGCAATGTGTATTTGCCTTTAAGAACATTATCTATGTCTTTTGTTAAGTGATTTGTAATTGTTTTTAAATTGTTGATCTCTCTTTAATGGTATATTTGCAGCTGTGCGGCTGTTTAAATTCTCATCGCAGAAGCAATTTTTGGATTAACGTAAATTGTTCATCCATCTTGCGGAGCTCTTAAAAAACAGCGAAGAGCAGAGCGGGGGGGAGGAGGGGGAGAGAAAGTAGAGCAAAAAAAGGGGGGGAGACTCTAATATGCAATTATTAAGAGATGCATTGTGATAACACCTTTAAATATTTATATAGCCACTGATTATATATTAAACAATTCTCACATGAACTCCCTGAAAACCCATTAATATTATTATTAGATTTCAGGCACACCTGCAGACTCTGTTCAAGGTGGGGTCCATTATCCTAGATCCTGTAAAAAAAAACTAACAAAAAACGACATAATTCAAATTCCATCCCATCTCCCGCCATGCCCCAGGTGGCAAAATTCATCGGGCCCAGTAGGCGCCACAGCTGCATGAAAGCACCCATGCTCTGATTTCAAAGTTTTGTTGCACCGTACAGAAATAGCTCACGGAAGCACAATCTTGCTCCATGCTTTCCAAGGCTGGATATGTGTCAATTAGGGATGGAAGAGAAATCTTACCCAGTCTGCATTTAAAGGCAGATCTGCCTAATTTTGCACTCTCTCTTCAAAACATGACACAGGACGAAATGCAGCTGTGCTCGGCAACGGTGCTGACTCTGTAGAATCGTAGAGTTTGAAGGGACTCCTACGGTCATCTAGTCCAACCCCCTGCTATGCAGGAATCTCGCCTAAAACAAAACCCATGACAAGTGGCCATCCAGCCACTGCTTACAAACCTCCAGGGAAGATAATAGAAGATGATAGAATACTTGGAACTTGCGAAAATGACTGAGAGAATAAGGGGAAACTCAAACCAGAAAGTGTGTGAAGAATGGATAACATTTAAAGAATGTTGTTGTTGTTTAGTCATTTAGTTGTGTCCGACTCTTTGTGACCCCATGGACCAGAGCACGCCAGGCACTCCTGTCTTCCACTGCCTCCCGCAGTTTGGTCAAACTCATGCTTGTAGCTTCAAGAACACTGTCCAACCATCTCGTCCTCTGTCTTCCCCTTCTCCTTGTGCCCTCCATCTTTCCCAACATCAGGGACTTTTCCAGAGTCTTCTCTTCTCACGAGGTGGCCAAAGTATTGGAGCCTCAGCTTCACGATCTGTCCTTCCAGTGAGCATTCAGGGCTGACTTCCCTCAGAATGGATAGGTTTGATCTTCTTACAGTCCATGGGACTCTTAAGAGTCTCCTCCAGCACCATAATTCAAAAGCATCAATTCTTCGGCGATCAGCCTTCTTTATGGTCCATGGACAAAGACAACAGGCATTTAAAGAATATCTAAAATAAAATTGTGAAAATGCAAATCTCCTGACAGGTCTAGATTGAATCTTGAATATTAAGCGAAACTATAAATGTAGAATTTTTTTATGGATATGTAACAGATATAACAGGAAATGAGTAAAGGTTAAGAATATGTAGAAAGCACAATGAGGAGAATTGGAAGTCAAAAGTGTGTGTGATGTTAGACGATGTGTTGTTAGTTCATGTTTACAGTGGCACCTTGGGTTACAGACACTTCAGGTTACAGACTCCGCTAACCCAGAAATAGTACCTCGGGTTAAGAGCTTTGCTTCAGGATGAAAACAGAAATCGTGCAGTGGCAGTGCGGTGGCAGTGGGAAGCCCTATTAGCTAAAGTGGTACCTCAGGTTAAGAAGAGTTTCTGTTGAGATTTCCATTCCACCTTAAGGAGCAGACGTGTGGAACTGTTGCGTGTCACATGTCTGTTTACATTCCAGCACAGCTTGCTGGGAACTTCCGTTGTGTATAGCTTTTCCTGTTCTCTCTGAGAAGAAGAGCGAGAGAGACGACATGTTCCTTTGTCCTGATTTATGATTAATAAATCTGTAGTTTTAGTATGCTTCCACAAGCCTCACGCCTATACTGTGTGCACAGTTCGCTCTGCTGATGGTGTGCCCTGGGTCTGAAGCCTGGGTCACTGATTTACGTCAGAGGAGAGGACAATGGTCTTTGCAGCGGGATGGCTGGAAGGAGATGACCCAGCTGGGGCTAGCCATCTGGCCTCCCAGCCCTCTGCATGTCGACAGTTTCAGGTTAAGAATGGACCTCTAGAACGAATTAAGTTCTTAACCCGAGGTACCACTGTAGTTGTCATTGAGGTAATGGCTTTGTTTGTCTGTGTTGTTATATGTAAATTGTTTTACAATGAAGTTTTTTTTAAAAAAACCAACCTCCAGGGAAGGAGAGCCCACCACCTTCCGAGCTAGTGCGGTCCACTTTTAAGCAGCTCTTATTGTCAGAAAGTCCTTCCTGATGTTTAGTCAGAATCTGCTAAACATTAGGAAGAACTTCCTGACAGTAAGAGGTGTTGGACACAGAGAGCTCGCAGAACTACAGTTCCTAGCACCCTTATAACATTACTACAGTGTTGGGAAACTGTGTACGTGCAGCTACTCTCACAGAGTCAATTAAGGTTTGGCAGACAGCCAGAAGGCAATCTGAAGGAGTAAGTCTGCCTGGTGATAACAGAGACATGGAGACCACTCCCTGATTGGTCAAATTCTCTCAAGGGAGTGATAATTAATGGCCTACTAACTGGAATGTGTTAGTTCAGTATTTCAGTGTTCAGAGTTCTGTGTCAGTAAGTGTAGGAGTTGTGAGTCGTGTCAGAGAGAGCTAGCAAAAGATCTGTGTTCTCTTCCTGTAAATAGTCCACTGCATATAATAAACACCTAACTACAAGTTCCTGGTTCCTGGTTCCTGCTTCATCTATCGTGTCTGCAGCTAAGTCGCCAATTGCTTCCGTGGATTCTGCATTTACTCTGCTAGGTCTGGCTAAGGTCCTGCAAAGCGTGTTCTCCTTCATGGAGAGCACGTGTTGCGGTGGGGTCTGCTGAGCCACCCCTCTGTTACCAGGCAGGGTCTCTAAAGATGGCCTGGGGCAGTGATTGGTTCACTGGGTTGCTGGGGTAAAAGTTATGTTGCAATTTTGGTGGGAGGGTAAAATGTTTAAATACTCTGCACGCAGCCTGGAGCTTTCTCTTTGCTGCGTGCAACGGATCACCCGCCCACCCGCCCTTGAGTAAGGGGTTGTTGCATTGACCTTGCTATGCCTGTCATGGGGTCGTCTGCCGTTGGGGCAGGGGCCTGGTAGGAATTTTGTCCATCTGGCTGATTGGCTGGGCCATTTGGTTTTTGCCTACTGCGTAGCAAATTGTCACAACTTGTAAGGTTGTGGTTAGGCATTGGTTATAAATTGGTGGAGGAGGGGTTAGGATAGGCTGGGCCTGCCCCTCCATGGTTGCTGCGGAAAGGGAATTCCGTTAAAGGAATCCTGGGGCTTGCCATCTTTTCGTCCAATCCCTGGAATGGGACTAGGGCCGGCAAGCCTTCGGGGAGCATGCGGATGAGAATTGAGGGTCTGTGACCCAGCTCCATTTCTCTCCGACTTGCTTTCCCCGCACTGTCTTTCGGTGGTGCCCGGAAGTCAGTTCTGTCCCCAGGCGGGGGACAGATAGTCTTAACCAATGCCTAAACAACCACTCACGGTTTTGTATTTAAATAAAGTTGTGGCCAAAATTATGCCAAAAACCTTAAACAAAAATTAAGTGTGCGTTGTGAGTTATTTGGGGGGTGGCTTGGGGACCTCGACACGCAACTAGTCAGAAAGTTGTGAAACACCAAATAGGTTCTACCAATTCCCAGGATTGTCCGTGATTATTAAAGTGGCATCAAAGTGCTGTGAAAGGTAGGCTGTGCATTTGAACGTTCGTTCTTAAATATTACAGTACGTTGGGTCTGCTGGCCTGCAGATTTATACAAACTACCTAGGGAATACATCCCATTCAATGGTCCTTACTTCAGAGTCAGTACATAAGAATTCACAACCAAAAAGTCAAAAGAGATTCTGGTTTTTAAGAACAAATGCTTTACACCGCAATCAATAGGACTTATTGCCAAGTAATACATCGGGAGCTGAGGTTGTTAGTAAGCCCTCTGGTTTTGCCAAAGAGGAACGTCATTTATTTGTGTTCCACTTGCTGGGCTAAAAAAATATGGAAAAAAGAAATCTGGCCTAAGCCACGTCCTTTGTTTACACACAAATACGTTATTGATTTAGAGCAGCTCATTCATTTGCTTGAGAACGTCTAGATCTAAAATTGATCTCCAGTTTTAAGCCGTGTGTCCTGTGAACCTGAGAGTCTTGTGCAACTTTAAAAGGGTAATTAAAATAAAATAAAATAGAGCAAAATGGGGAAATGCAAAATAATAACAATGATCAAAGCACAGGGAGCGGGGGAGGGGAAGCACTGGGGGACGGGAATGCAAAAACCAAACAGCTCAAGAAGATGCATGGAAGACTTGGGATGTGATGAATATCTACAGTTCTTATTTTGGGGAGCAAAAATCGTGCATTTGCAAATTGTTGCACAGAATATGGTAACAGCTTTCTGAAATCAGTGCATAATTGAGTTTCGGATGGGAATCTATCCCAGGCCTGAGATGCAGCCAAAGAATCGAACCTGCTATGTTGCGCAATGCTGTCTTTTTGCTTTCTAGAATGAATGGAATCCCCATACAAAGCAAAAGCAGGCACTGAATACCACTGAGATGAGAGTGAAATCTAAGCCAATAAGACTCAAGCCTGCTCTGTGATCTTCAAATGAATCATATAACCGTAGAGTTGGAAGGTACCTCTACCATCATCTAATTCAACCCCCTGCAAAACAGGAATCTCAACTACAGCACTCAAGACAGATGCCCATCCAACTTCTGCTTGAAAACCTCCAAGGAAGGAGAGTCTACAATCTCCCGAGGAAGACCGTTCCACCATCAAACAGCTCTTAACATCAGAAAGTCCTTCCTGAAGTTTAGTCAGAATCTCATTTATTGTAACCCTCCAGAGCAGGAGAAAACAAGCTTGTTCCCTCTTACCCTCTTCCATGTGACAGCCCTTAAAATATTTGAAGATGCCTATAGTATTTCCTCTTTTCCAGGCTAAGCATCCTCATCTCCCTCAAACCGTTCCTCACAAGTATTGGTTTCCAGATCCTTGACCATCTTAGTCACCCTCCCCTTCACACATTCCAGCTTGTCAACATCTTTTTAAAATTGTGGTGCCCAGAATTGGACACAATATTCGAGGTGTGGTTTGACCAAGGCAGAACAGAGTGGTACTATTAACTTCCTTTGAAGTACAGTGGTACCTCGGGTTACAGATGCTTCAGGTTACAGACTCCGCTAACCCAGAAATAGTACCTCGGGTTAAGAACTTTGCTTCAGGATGAGAACAGAAATTGTGCAGCGGCAGCGGGAGGCCCCATTAGCTAAAGTGGTACCTCAGGTTAAGAACAGTTTCAGGTTAAGAACGGACCGCCGGAACAAATTAAGTTCTAAACCTGAGGTACCACTGTAATAGTAAGAACTGTGCTTTTTTGTAACAGTCGTCATCAGTACAGAGTACCATCCCCACTGCCGGATTTACATACAAGCTATACAAGCTATAGCTTAGGACCCCACTCTCTTGGGGGCCCCCAAAACAATTATAAAGGGGAAAAAACCTGGGTCTACATTTCCAATTGTATTTCAATTCAACAATTACTTTGATAAAATATTTATTTTGTTATGTGCAAATGGCTTTAAAGGTAAAGGGACCCCTGACCATTAGGTCCAGTCGTGACCGACTCTGGGGTTGCAGAGCTCATCTCGCTTTATTGGCCGAGGGAGCTGGCGTACAGCTTCTGGGTCATGTGGCCAGCATGACTAAGCTGCTTCTGGCGAACCAGAGCAGTGCACGGAAACGCCGTTTACCTTCCCGCCGGAGCGGTACCTATTTATCTACTTGCACTTTGACATGCTTTCAAACTGCTAGGTTGGCAGGAGCTGGGACCGAGCCACGGGAGCTCACCCCGTCGCGGGGATTCGAACCGCCAAACTTCTGATAGGCAAGTCCTAGGCTCTGTGGTTTAACCCACAGCGCCACCCGCATCCCGCAAATGGCTTTTGATACCTATTAAAAGTAAAGGTAAAGGACCCCTGACAGTTAATTCCAGTCACAGACAACTTTGGGGTTGCGGTGCTCATCTCGCTTTACAGGCCGAGGGAGCCGGTGTTTGTCCGCAGACAGTTTTTCCGGGTCATGTGGCTGGCATGACTAAGCAGCTTCTGGCGCAACGGAACACTGAAACCAGAGCAGCGCTCGGAAATGCTGTTTACCTTCCCGCCGAAGTGGTACCTATTTATCTACTTACTCTTGACGTGCCTTCGGACTGCTAGGTTGGCAGGAGCAGGGACCGAAGAACGGGAGCTCACCTTGTAGTGGAGATTCAAACCGCCGACCTTCTGAACGGCAAGCCCAGGAGGCTCAGTGGTTTAGACCACAGCGCCATCCACGTCGCTTGATGCTCCCGTGTCCTAATACCTGTTAGATATTATTTAAGGACCTAATACCTATTAGGTCCATAAATTACCATATAGCGTATATTCAACACAAAAAACAGTGACAATTTGTTGTTGACAAAGGACAGCTGGACATACAAAGGGACCCATTACCTTCAGTAGCTTAGGGCCTCATCAAACCTAAATCCGCCCCTGACCACCCCCTGTCTTTTATTTTTGCTGCCCACGGCAGCCCTTGTGTACTTGCACATAGCACTCTTATGAAGATATACTGTAGAATCACAGAATTGTAGGGCCATCTTGCCCGACCTCCTGCAACGCAGGAATAAAGTACCAGTCCCTCATTTTTTACCCCAAAAAGCAATGGTTAAGAGTATGGTGGAATGTTAGGAACTGGGACACACACAATGACAGACACACAATGAAGCTTCACAAAATTGTCTTGACAAAGTTGATCACCTCCCTTCCTTGCACTTGCTTCCACAAAACCGGCGATTCCTTGATATTTTCCAAACAACTTTGCAACATCTCTCCCTCCCCACCCCCCATTTAAGTTAAAAAGAATGGAAAATAGTGCCCATGGGAGAAATAAAGAATGTGTGTGCGTTAGGCTAAACCTCTAATAAATCACATCGTTAAACCCTTTATGATTTTTCCCTCCTTTTAATTACATCACGGGAAGAATCTCTTTTCAAAAATAATAATAATTGCACTTTAAACATTTCTTTAGAAGCACCGAACAAGACATTAATAAGAAAGTGAAAAGATAAGCAGAAAAGCAGTCAGTGAAAAATTCTATATTTGTATTATAAAGGCATTGTTTTCACTGCTGGCACCTTATTTTTCAAGTACATAAAGAGAATGCAAGCGAGAGCAGGGTGAGACAAAGATCAATGCTGAATGTATTACCTGGCAGTGGTCAGACTCAGTTTAATAAGAAAAGAATTGATCCATTAAGCTAAACCTAATT